ATAAACACGCAAAAAAAGAACTTGGCCAATATCCAGCCATCTTGACCTCACACTTGGTCAATAACCCATACGTATTGTAAATAAAGTAGTTCAACGATGAATACGGACATGGTGAAGTAATTTGAACAAAATAGTCGATAAATAGAAAAAAAAGACATTACACAGGACTGGGAGTTCAGCAGTCACTAATATTGCCCTGGAAAGGGAAGAAGAAAAAAAAAAGAAGTTATTACAACACAGGGTATTCGTATTTGGTAACCCATCCAAGCATGAACCCCGCCGAACAGGGTTAACTTAGTTGAGCGGACGAGACGCGGTGCTGTCCTTGTGGTATTATGACTCTACGTTCAGGTTGGATAATTTTTTTTCTCCCAAGAGGTAACAAAGAAAGGAGAAAAATCACTGATATCGCCTGGCGGAAAATAAAGAACGAAACAAATAGGAATGAAAATGAGAATCCGATTATACTTGCTTCGCTGATCGGACAAGAAGCTGAACTTTCTTTATAATAGACTCGGACGAGGATCACCAATAACTTCATTAATGTTTTCAACGGTCTTACATCTCCTCGTGTATTCTCTTACCGCTGCGTTTTGCCAGTGGGCTTTAAATTTAACTTAACCTACGGATTAAAACCTCCAGTCAGTGGCATCAAAATTGTCACTGTTTACAGACGATCCATTTTCCAAGTTGAGTGGTTCATAGTCACTTTGATTTGAACAGTGGCCAGTAATCGAACCTATTCACACTCGCATGGGTGAGTGGGCAAGTGATTATGTCCAACACTGCAACATAGTTTACCAAGAATTTCTCTCACCACTTATGAAAATAATCTGTGCAACTGCCCATTAATTCAACATTACAACTTAATACTGCTCTTTTTTTCACTTTTTTCTTTACTCAGTCTACAGTAACATACTCAGATTAATGAACCTTGTTAAATGCTTACCATTGAAATTTGAGATTTTGCAAGGAAACCACCATCTAGATAATGTATCCTTTCTTTCAATATCTGTAAAGGTTTCTGTGTCTTTGAAGACCCACACCTGGTTAAGAATAGTAAATAGCATTAACACATAAACCTATGAATAGTTGCCACTGGGTTATTATAAAATATAGATGATAAAATTGTTATGATGGAGTTATATTCACACTCGCACAGAAGTCTTATATAGAGGATATTACACGGTGGCGAGAAGATATGAATTTTATGTTCGAATGGCAAGAAATACATGTATATCTCATGAGTGAGCACAGCAAACAAGTGAGATATTGTCCTTGCCACGAGAACATAAAATTCATATCCTCGAGCTAACGTGTAATGTTCCTTTTATTATATAGACATACTGATGACGGTGTTTTTGACAATTTTCTGAAGATTTCCGACCACTTTCCCAAGATTTACGAAGATTCTTCAATCATCATTTATCATTTCAGTTATAATTTCAGTGAAATCATTGATATCTTCAATAGTGAGGATATGGAAAATATGCCACTCGAGTTCCGGATGTGGTTGCGTGTGAATTTTACGAGTGGTGTATTTTCCAGTAAAACACTCGTGTCTATATAATAATATGTAGTTAGTGCTGGGTTTTTTCTCTTTTTTTCATTTTTTTGGGGGGGTTATGTCCCCTATTAGCTTGTCTCTGTACAGTTAAATAAATTCAGCATACATTCAATTGATAAATTCAAGCTCCTAGGACATGAACAAAAAAATAAATAAATCACATCTTGTTTTAACCCACTGATGCAATATACCGGTAATCCTAACGTTTTGGTTAATAATGTCCAGTATCCTAGCAAGCAAAAAAAAATTGGGGTATATATTCTTCTGAGGTCTGTAATTTAGGCAAAAACTCTGCAGTCACACTGCACAATCAGGGTAAACATGTAAATGAATGGTGTAATGGAGTGTTACAATTATATTAGATAAGACTAGAATCAGCTTGATTCTTGCATGAAAATGTTGAAGCTATTGTTTTAAAGCCCCTAATAAATGCAGAGTGCTTGGCCACCTGTGCATCAAATTTATTGAATAACAACAGCTTACATGTACTGTTGTTTTATGCTCTAAAAACAAATGCAAATAAATAGCCTTTGTCATGAAGTTAGTTCTTTTCATACATTTCAATGATGAAATTCAACATTGGGCAGAAACTATAGAATTGCATTCATGTGCATGTTGGGTAAGGATGTAAATTATTCAAATGACAAAGGTTAACTGTTCACATTCAAATGCAGTTTAGTTTGGTTGGAAGGCAACTTCAGACAGAAGCTACAAAATTCCCCAAGATTGTGTCACCCTCACATTCAAATACGTAATTTGTTCCCCAGCAGCTAAAACACAATCAGGGTAGCAAAGTTCACAGGGTCTATGTTATGGGCTAAAAAATCTGTAATGTACTTGTTACATTTGACTTTTCTAAATTTTCTCATAAAAAGGTGTCCAGGGACAAACCTTCTAAATACAAAAGAGCATTCTGTAATATGGATTGTCAAAAAAGTATGTGTAGAGAAGGTTAATCCTTTACCCCCTAAGGCGAACAGCAGTTTTTCCCAAATCGGCAAATAAAGACACTCTGCCTGTGTACAATATGCCATTTGAAAGTCACTAATCAGCTTATTTAAGAATTGACATCAGCAGCTATGAAGGAGGTAGACATTTTGAGAGAAATTACTTTAAAATG